ACTTAGTGGAGAAAAAAAAAAAAAAAAAAAAAAAAAAAAAAAAAAAAATTCATGTGAAAATGCGTTACATAATTAACACATTTGAACAAAAGGCAATCATGTTGAGGTGATTCTTTATAAAGCTTTATTCCTATTCAGTATGTCTCACCGTGATTTCCATCTTGTTCGAATACACACTAGTTGTAGTACAGTTACTTCTTTCCCCTTTAAATGACCTGACGTTGCTGATGCCCACTCTACCACGGAGCTGAAATTTCACAAGCCGCAGGAATCCCAACAGGCACACGCTACTTTGAAATGCGAAGTGATTGGAGGTTCGCAAGAGAAGTTCCTTCCTCATGACTTCTTCGCCCTCATTAACATATGAAAAATATGTGAATAAATATGCTTCCTTCTCCTAGTGCCTACCATAAGCTTCAGTTTCAACTTCAACCACAATGGAGCAGATGATTATCTTTGCGAGCAGCAATATGAGAATACTCCACCGGTTACACGCACAGGTAGTGCCCCCAATTCGGGCATCCTACGAATATACACATTAAAGCGAAACGCACCAGTGTATGATAATTTGAAATTTTTTTTTTTTTCTTTCCTCTTTAATTTTTATTTGCCTCAAAAAAAGGACGTAAAAGGGATATCATTTTTCATGGAGTCATTTCATCCTACAAAATTAGTACCCATAAAAAGGAACCACAGTTCGGAGAAAAGAAACGTGTTCCTATTTTTTCTCTTTTTTTTTTTTTTAATTAAACAACTTGTTTGGTAGTTATTCAATATATCAATATACACAACAATGTAAAATTAAAAAAAAAAAAAAAAAAATTCAAATTATCATACAAATATAACATTAAAAAAAAAAAAAAAACATTTTTTTTTTTTTTTTTATCTCATAAAAAAGGGTGTACATATATGTGTACATATGCACATGTTGGTTGACGTGTGGGCAGGGGCACAGACACGATGCCTTCTACCCCGCCCTTTCTGCTAAATCATTCACTTATTCCAACCCATTGGAGAAGCTTAATTACAAGTACAAATAAAGTCGATAATTGTTGGTGGGGAAATGATATTATTTATTTCTTCTTTTTTTCCTCTTTCTGGCCAAGTATCCTCAATAAGTGCGTAAAGAGTCCCACTAAGTCGAGATAAAGACAAATGGAGTGCATCTGTACAGGGAAGGAGAAACAATAACAAAAAAATGAGCGTCGGTCAAAAAATGCACATTATGCACACCCAACTCCGTAGCACAATTTATACACCAACGGGTCATCAAACAAAGCGGAAATCACACACACGTGGCACCATCAGATGACCATCCGATGAGCGTCATGGGAGTTATGATTTTTTTTTTTTTTTTTTTTAAATCATTACTATGTAATCTTTGTTTCCCCGGCGAAAATCGAACAACGTTATTTGGGTGTCGAATAGGACGAATCTGCAATGGGAAGAAAAAAAAAAAAAAAAAAAAAAAAAAATGTTTCACTCTCTCCTTTATATTGTGTGCTCTTTTACCAAATGTGGAAAATATGCTCTCAAAAGGTGCCTATTGGCGTGCATTCTTTTTACGCTTACCCCATGTACATAAAGAATCCAACATACAATAAAGTGGCGTCGATATATCGTGACCTTATAAAAAAATTCATAAACGAAATCAGCGCTACGTAGGAGCACACGGCGCATAATACCGTTCCAAGGAAGAGGGAAATTCTGTACCAAAAAAAAAAAAAATGAGCGATTGAAAAATGTGTCATTGGAAATAATCAACACCCCAACTACGCAACATGTAGCAGCTGTTGAGGACGGGCCCATATTAACGCAGCGACACAGACAAATATGGTGAATATTATAAGAAAAAGAATTCTCCATGCATGGCAAGTTTAACATACAAACACAAACGACTTATTAACAACATATATATATAACTGCCAAGTGATGAATTTAAAAAGAGAGCTCATGCGCGCTTACCTGTTCTTGGAAAATATGGCCGACAAGGAGAAGCAGGAAAATATAGACAGGCTTCCGAAAAAGGCCAAAGGGAGAATGGATGGGTTGAGGTAATTAACATAAGCGATATAATCACTCATCAAAATACCAATAGAGGATGATATACCAGCAAAATAAAGTAACCTCTTCTTCGATGCAGCTGGTAAGACGTTACCATAATGAGAATAACTGCATGAACCAGCCAAAGCAAAGGAACAAAATAAACTAATCATGGACGCTATAAATCTCGGAATTTTCAAAAAATATATGTCAACATAACAACTCAATGCAGTTATCATTGTTCCCACGGCAAGCAAGCCGTATATTTTAATTAAATGCTTCCTCTCTTCATTTGTTAACGGGGAGAAATTTAAAATGTTCGACAGCTTCAGTTCCTTCTGTCGCTTTCTGATTTGGTTGAGAAAATCCATTTTCTTAAAGGTTCATCAAAAAACGGGGGAAAAAAAAAAGGAAGAACACGCTGTTCGCTTAATTATACAAATGATACACCGCCTGGACGAACAAATGAGCTTCTTTAATTCTGTACGATGGGGTATTGGAAAGCAATCCTCTTTCGATAATATATTATGCTTAAACGCAGCGTACTGGTTTTTTTTGTTTCTCTTCCGCAGTCTCTTTCGTTAGTATTATAATCTGAATGTTCAAATGCACGAAAAGTTGATTTGCCGTCTTGTAAAGTACTCGTTTTTCTTTTTTTACTTTTTTAAGCGAAAAATTGTAAAGAAAAATATTTTGCTAACATTTAAATCATGTTTTGGGAAAAAAAAAAAAAAAAATCTCAAAAAAAAATTGTGCACGGAATGCGTATAAAAAAAAAAAAAAAATTCCCAGCAAAAAATGGTACCAAAAAAATAATGCTTCCATTTATTATTTCCATACAATTTTTGTGCCGCATATGTATTTTGCGTACAAATATCGAGTGAGCTCTGTTCCAATAGTTCAAACCACTTGATGCGCAAAAATGTTACATCATGTTTTTGTATTTACCTATTTTTTAGCCCTATTTTTTTTTTTTTTTAACATACCATTTGGGGTGGAATTACCTTTTTACTCAATAACACCAAAAAAGGAGGGTTTACAAAATCGATTGTGTAATTTGTCAAAACAAAAAAAAGCCACACTTTATTACATGTGTATAGGAAATACTTTTTTTTTTTTTTTTTTTTTTTTTACCATTTTGTTCATTTTTTACCTGAACAAGTCAGAACATTTTGTTATGCATATCTGTTCGACCCATTTGTAAATAAAAAGAACTCCTATAACAAAATTAACAGGTCCTAACTTGATGGGTTAAAATGAATGCATTATGACATTTTTATCGAATTCGAACGATACGGAGTTTGCCCTTTAAATGGCGCAAAATGCGGAGGGAGATTGCGTCCACACCTTCACAGCAGCAGCACACACGTGGACACGCAGACATATATATATTCAGGGTTAATGGAGGAGATGAGATCTGTTCGCTGATTTTGCTCCCCTTGTGCGCTGTGCCACGTTTAAGGGTTCCTGTTATATAAGTCGAATTGGTCATTAACTCCTCGTGGGACATTTGCGCCATGCGGTTCTTCCCCTTTGAACATTGTTGCAAACGGATCTGTAGCTTATCTCCACGCGCATAATCGCCTTCTTTTTTTGCATAACATGACAAGGATTATCGTGTCGAAATTATTTTTCCTGCTATTTTTCTGGGTGGTTATTTTTAAGTGTGTTTACTATGGCTGGTCAAATTTTGTGCGTTGCACACAAGGTCGCATCCCTGTTTGCGAAAAGGAAGCGTGGCAAAAGGGCAACGTCGTGGAGTTGGCTCCTTTGCATTAATTAAAAAAAAAAAACAAAAAAAAGCAAAAGCTAAATCGGAAAAGAATCAAAAACGTAAAAAAAAAAAAAAACTATAAAATACACACCCATGTATGCTGTACACATTGACAAAAAAAAAAAAAAAAAAATGGGACGAAAATGAATTGGTTAAAAATGGCCACTCGGGACATACATAGGTTAAAATAAATACGTGCGCTTAATCAGGGTCACATGTAAAAAAAAACACAATACCGCGAGTTACAGATCGGTGAATAGGCCTATCACGGAATGTACCTCAAATGGGGAAGACAAAGTCGGTATGGAAGAGAATATACATATTAAGCTCTTAATGTGTGGGGGTCCATCCCCTTGACACACACACACACGCATACATATATATGTAAACATACACGCAGCGTGCTTTTTGTACGGGAGGGACATCAGTAAGGCTGCACGGGGGGTATGGTCCCGTAGGTGTAGTAGTACGTCCCATGAAAGCTTTTCTCAATATCTTCCGCCCTCTGGAAGGAAAAAATATTTCCACCCACTTGCAAAAGACGATAAAAACTCCAAACCAATTGTATAACAAAGAAGGACATGATAAACATAAAAATATGAACAGTCATTTCTAGTATGCCATAATATATAAGGTAATTAAAAATAATTTTCCTGTGCCAATCAAAATTATCGTAATACCACTGGACGCTATGCGAAGTACAGATATTGTACAGGCATATTAAACACTCAATTGCTTCAACAATATAATTGATTACCACCACATTATATGCTATGTAAGCTGTAAAGGCATTTTTGTGTGCAACTGATATTAATATTAGTACTGCGCAAATGCAATTTAAAATGGACATAACTATGAACAAGGCTTCATTGTAAGTCGATGTGTGTGTTAACATTAGAATGGACATTAATATCAACAGTATCGCGTAAATAATACTTGCTGTTCCTATGGAGAAACATAAAAACCTCTTCATGGTCCATCTTTTGACTCCTCCTGGTGACCTGAACATTTTCTCTTCATAGTTGGGGTTATAATATTCACTTCACAGAGCTGTGGTGGGGAATTGTGCAGAATGTGGAAAAGGGACTTAGGGGTCTGTGCGCGGAGTCTTCTTTAGTGTTGCTTTCATTGGCCGTTCTCTCAGACGGGGCACATTACACGGGGCACCTTTTTCTGCGGGAGGTGAAACGAGTGGACGATCTGTAAAAAAACGCACACACGTATGACGTTTATGCATATTTTATTATATACCCCACAGGTGAAGCGGTGGGAAGGCGCCAAAAGTGTTTAGAAGTATTTCTCGCCAACTCGGTATTCCCGTAACATAACTGCGTTATGCACTCTATACACAATTGAGGTGTCATTTATTTATTTTTTTTTCCGTTAGGCAGTACTTTTGTAGTACCTTTGCAATGCTTCTCCTTCCTTGGCGTCTTTCCCCCCCTGCCGTTGGTCCATGCGCGAGGGAAACACCAACGGGTGTTACGTTTTTATTGTCGTTCCAGCGGAATGAGAACTTTCTATTTTGTTTTTTAAGAAACAGTTCTGTTGTGCGCACCTGAACAAAGTTCACGCTGAGAAAAAATCTGCCATGTGGTGACACTGTCCATTTGTTGCGTTTTTTTTTTTTTTTTTCTTCATTTACCACGGCTAAGATTTGACTTCCCTTTGTGGGGCAAGGAAAAAAAGAGTCAATCAGCGGGGGAGCAGACGGGCAAGGACATGATGCAGAACAAATTCACAGCAATTTCCTTGGACGAATTACAAATAACCTGTCTCACCTGTCCGTTCATAAAAAAAAAAAAAAAAAAAAAAAAAAAAATATCTGCTTTCAAGTGCAACGCTGTCCATTTCCCCGCAACTATGTTGGGGGGCGCAGGGGTGAAAAAAAAAAAAAAAAAAATGCGTCCTACATGCGCCTGTTCCCAAACACACTTTTCAGCAACTCGTCATGGAGAAAAAAAATAAAAAGAAAAAAAAATTAAAGTGCAACTTTGCATGATATATGCAACATTTTTGTGACCATTACGCGACCCAGTTCTGCTTGACCGACCCTTAGGATGGAAACCCGTAACGCAGGACGACGCACGGAATTGTGGAACGCAAAAAAAAAAAAAAAAAAAAA